TAACAGTAGCAATATCTGTCTGGGGATGGGAAAACACCTCTTTTCAACAGGGTGCCTGAATGAAACGTAATTGTACACCTAACCCTTGACTGTACCCCACAAAACCATAATAAAAAATATTGATTAAAAAAAAAAAAAAAATGAACTCTATACCCAAAACCATATAAAAAGATGCTCAACATTACTTCTAATGATTAGGGAAATGCAAATCCAAACTATGGTACCAGCTCATACCCATTAGGATGGCCACTACCAAAAAACAGAAAACAGCCAGGTGTGATGGCTCACGCCTGTAATCCCAGCACTTTGGGAGGATGAGGTAAGAGGACTGCCTGAGCCCAGGGATTCAAGACCAGTCTGGACAACTTGGTGAGGTCTCGTCTCTACAATAAACCAAAAAATTAGCTGGGTGCAGCAGTGTATGCCTGTAGTTGCAGCTACTTGGAAGGCTGAGGCAGAAGGATTACCTGAGCCCAGCAGGTCAAGGCTACGGTGGCAGTGATCATGCCACTGCACTCCAGCCTGGGTGACAGAGTAAGACTCCACCTAAAAAACAAAACAAAACAAAACAAAAAACACATAGTAAACAAGTGTTGGTGAGGATGCAGAGAAATGGAAACACATGTGCACTGCTGGTGAGAATGTAAAATGGTATAGCCACTATGGAAAACAGTATGGTAACTCCTCAAAAAATTAAACACAGAGCCAGGTGTGGTGGCTCACACTTGTAATCCCAGCACTTAGGGAGGCCCAGAAGGGAGTTTGCCCATGAGTTTGAGACCAGCCTGGGAAACATAGTGAGATCTCATTCTTACAAAAAAATTTAAAAATTAGAAGGCTGAGACAGAAGGATCACCTAAGCACAGGAGGTCGAGGCTGTGGTTAGTCACGATCTTGCTACCACACTCCAGCCTGGTCAACAGAGTGAGACCCCTGACTCAAAAAAGAAAAAAATTAAACGTAAGTACCATATGATTCCACCATTCCTTTACTGGGTGTATGTCCAAATAAACTGAAAGCAGTGTCTTAAAGAGGTATCTGAGTCGGGCTCGGTGGCTCAGCCTGTAATCCCACGCCTTTGGGAGGCTGAGGTGAGTGGATTGCCTGAGCCTGCGGGTTCGAGACCCGCCTGGGCAGCGAGACCGCATCTCTACAATAAATCAAAAAATCAGCCGGGTATGGTAGCGCGCGCCTGTAATTCCGGCTACTTGGAAGGCTGAGGCGGAAGGATCACTGGAGCCCAGCAGGCGAGGCCGTGGTGGCCGGGAGCAGCCACTGCACTCCAGTCTGGGTGACAGAGTGAGACGCCAACTCAACAAAACAAAACAAAACAAAAAATAAAAAAAAAAACAAAAAAAAGAGGTATCTGTACATCCACATTTATAGCTACATGTATAGCTATAAGTATTATCCACTGACAGATGGATGGCTTAACGAAACATGGCATCTACATACAAAATATTCAGCCTTAAAAAAAATTCTGATACAGGCTACAACATGGATAAGCCCTGAGGATATTGTGCTAAGTGATACAAGCCAGTCACAAAGAGACAAATACTGAGTCAAAATCACAGAATCAGAAAGTAGATTGGTGGTTGCCAGGGGTTGGGGAAGAGAGGAAATGGAGTTTCAGTTTTGCAAGATGAAAAGTTCTAGAGAACTGATGCACAACAATGTGAATATATTAACACCACTGAACCATATACTTTAAAAAAAGCTAACATGGTAAATTTTATGTTAGGGGTATTGTACCACAATTAAAAAAAAAAGTTTGAGTACACAAGGGACCCCCAAAAAACCCAGAATTATCTTTTGGAGGGCGGGTCCCCTCTAGTATACTCAGAATGTGCTCCTTCTAATCAAACGGTCATCCAAAGTTTTTATCTGGAAGTTTGGGGAAGATTGCATCACAACTTGTGGAAGAAACACTGTAAGTTGTGGCAAATAGGTGAATGGTCTTCCACTGTAACAACACAACTACCCTCACTGTGTTAGGTGCTTTGCAGTTTTTGACCACAAATGGTATAACCTCCATCCCCTACCCTACCACCCTCCCTATTCATGTGAACTTACCCCAAGTAACCTTTTTTGTTTTTCCCTGATGAAAAAAGTTCTCAAAGGGAAACGTTTTGTCAATGTGGAAGAGGGAAACAAAAAACAGAAGCACTGAAAGGCATCAAAATCAATGAGTTCAAAAACTATTTTGAGCAGTGGAAAAACCATCTCGATAGGTATATTGCATCAAATGAGAGTACTTTGAAGGTGACTGAAGTTTAAGCATGAAAGAATCGCCAATTTTTTATAAATACATTCCAGGGTTTTTGGGTCCCCTCTTGTACACACCTTCAGGGAGAAACAAGATAAACTTGTGCTCTATAATAAGGCAGTTATAAATTATATAAATCCTATAGCTCTGATATTTTCTTGTCACATCCCAATGCACAAGCTTGAAAACTGCACATCTCAAAGGCTGAACCCCCAGCAAGGCTTAAAGCCCTGTACTCCTGAGGCCTCAACAAGTCACCCTCGAAGCACAGCTTGAGAATTCATAAAGGGCCACTTCACCCAGTTTTCCAATTGAGTTTTATTCTGGAACAAATGGTTTTACAACCAAGTTGACTTTAAACAGTACCACATTTCCTCACTGCTAGCAGCCCCACCTTTCTGCAACCCACAGACCAGGGGATCAAAGATACGGCTCAGCTGTGAGCTTAGCATCAGCTACTGACTTTTAAAGAATCCAGAACAAAGTCCTAGAGCCAGGCTAGAACTGGTAAATGACTCAGCCAGCTCCTTACTCAGTGCCCACAGGGGAGCCAGTGACTGTATGATCCACGACCCCAAGATTGTGAAGAGTGGGAGCCTGGCTGAGGGGAGGGCGTCAGCAGTGTGACGTCAGCAGTGTCTCTACTCCCTAACCTCTGTGCTGCCTTGTTTACTGTCGTTACTTGCATGCAGTGGCAGAACACTGACAGAAGCCAGCATCTGGTGGCCATAGATAAGACACATGGACAACCCTGAACCTCCCTGTTGTGTCCTTACCCCAGACTGTGCCCCACCTGCTGGAACAGCCAAGCAGGGACAGTTCTGTCTGGGTCACAGTGCTCTCCCTGCAGGCCAATCCAGTGTTCAAGTGTTTTCCAAGAGGCTAAAACCAATCCTTAAAGAATAAACAGTAGCTCCTATGTGCCAGGCACTGTGCTAAGCACTTAACATTCAGTGTTCATAGCAACCCCCTGAGGTAGACTGTATCACTATCCCCATTTTGCAGATGAGGATACAGGCTCAAGAATGAGGTCACATGCTCGCCTCAAGTCTCAAAGCTAAGATGGGGCTCAAAGGTCTGTGTGACCTGAGCTCATACTTATCCCAATATCTCTAAATAACCCCTTAGGAAACAAGGAAAGAGGACATTTTTAGAAAGTAGGAGAAAACCCAACAGCCACGGGGATTGTCAAAGAGCTGAGGGGGTACCAGACGAAGTTCAAGGATACTGCATAGTTGCCAACACCCTGTCCTAGGCCCGGGGACATGTAGACTCTGTTCCCCCAGGGACTGGTGGCCCTGCTCTCAATAAATAAATAAAGGTCAGGCACAATTCTGCACAGAGGCCCCAGATTTCAAACTGCTGCCTTGTTTCTTGGGCTTTAGCTTAACAGAGTTTAGTGCTGGGTGGGTGGGGAATCCCTGGTTTGGGTCAAAATAAATATCCAAAGCTGATCTGCTTTCCCTCCTCCCTGAGTTGTGCCTGGTCACTTCTGATGTCAAGCATGTAAAGGGCCAGCTCCCCACGGGGGGGTCTGTGGGCTCTGCTGTTCCATAGTAGCCTAGAAGGGAGGTGACAGGCCATGCAGGGCACCAAGTTCCTACAATGGCGGCAGCCAATGTTCCAGGTAAAAGGAGTAGGGAAGAAATATTTCCTTTAGAGGCCTTAACTCTTTAGCTTCAGGGCATATTTATTCTGAACCCAAAAATAACTCTGGAGGAAGAGGTAGACTGCAACAACAGGAAGAGAACTTTACCCCCAAGGGAGACATTATCCCTTTATAGCACAGCATGGTAACTAGGAGATCTGGGGGTGGGGAAGGCCAGTGACAGCCAGGTTTAATCTGTTGGCACAATCCTACTCCTGCTGGGACCTATAGGATAGTCCACCTGACATATCCCTGGAGTCCGTAAAGTGCTATTAGCAAAACCACAGGCCTCGAGAGAAAGAACCAACAGTCCCAGAGAGACAGGGCTGTGCTGCGAGGAGAGTATGTCAAAGACAGATGACCCCAACTCCTCTCCCTGGGGCTGGCTGGCTACATCCTGCCCTGCCTGCCCAGGATGAAGCGCCCGTGCCTTCCTGGCTGCCACACTGGGAGCCAGCCCAGAAGCCCAACCCCCTCTCACGCCCTCTTGTCCTGGGCTTCTCCCGTTTCTCCTCTGCTGCTCTGGGCCAGGTCCTCAGGCCAGTACTGGTCCTCCATGTACTGCTCCATGTCTGTGCTGCTGTCAGGCTCTCTGTCCTCAGGTGTCATCCAGAGGCTGCTGGCCTCCTGTTGTTCCCACTGCACCTCCACCAGCCGGTAGAGCTCCATGGCCGTCATGGCATCTTCCACTGACGAGTGTCCGTGCTGGCCCACCTGTGGAAGAGAGCCAACATGTCACTGCCTGCAGTCCTGGTGAGAAGCCCATCACCCCAGAAGCAAAGCCAGTCTCCCAAGGCTCTTTGCCTCAAACTGAAGACACGAAGGCCAGATGGCCAAGTATGGTGGCTCATGCCTATAATCCCAGCATTTTGGGAGGGGGAAGTGAGAAGAATGCCTGAGTCTGGGGTGGTGTGTACCTGTAGTTCCAGCTACTTGGAAGGCTGAGGCGGAAGGATCACCTGAGCCCAGCAGGTCGAGGCTGCAGTGGCCATGAGCATGCCACTGCACTCCAGCCTGGGTGGCAGAATGCGACTCAGACTCAAAAAAAAAAAGGCCAGATGAATGATGAATGTGAAACGGTAGGAGCAAGAGGTACTGGCTCTCCCAGTCAAAGGTTCTAGGTCTGGTTGTGCAAGATGGGAAGCCAACCTGTACGGATGCAGGAACAGTCAGGAGTTAGGCTGGACATAGATCTGGGAGAGATCAGCTGGGAGAACTGGCCACCACAATACACGGGGGAGAAAGGATCATGGAAACAATGGAGTTGCCTGTACAAAGGGGAAATTCATGCTTTGTGCAAGGTCCCTGGACCTGGACTGGGGAAGGAAGAATGGCAAAAAGATTTAAGGCACTGCCCAAAGTCCTGGCCCGGCTGGCATGGAGGCCAGATGGGCCTCACTCCCTCCCACCTGCTCTCATACCACACACCTGGATTTTCTTGTGCAGCAGCTGCAGGGCTAGATCCTTCAAAGATACCCGGGCCCGGGTAGGGAGGCTGGGCTGGCTGAGGAAGCTTGGGACGTAGGTGGTATCCCGGGTCTGGCTCCGAGGGTGGACGTACTTGAGGGCCTGGAAGTCGTTGTGCAGCGCGTGGCCCACCACTACCTTGCCCTTCAGGAGCTTCAGAATCTGTGAGCAGAGAGAGGAGTCAGGAGACACATCCCACACATCCCGAACTCCCTGGCCAACTGGTGCACAGATCTCTCTGGAAGGAGGCAGCAGAGGGGGAGACCACGGGCTCCACAGTCAACCAAGCTGCCCCAAGTGTGGATCAGGCTCTTCTATTGACTGTAACCAGGGGCTTACCTAAGTCCTCTGCACTTGTAAAGAGGGAACGCTGCCAACACATTCTGTGGGGCAGCTGGAGGATTAGAGGCAGTTACAGATGGAAAACATCTCCTAGTTACCAGATAGAAGCACAGGCCCTTCTCAGCCTGGAAGACACCACCAGCCCTCCCACCCCACCGACTCTTCCCCCTCTCTCATTATGCTGCAGGTCTCAGCTTCACCATCACCCCGCTGGAGACCTTCCTGGGACTCCCCATCTACAGCAGGCCCTGTTGCTCCCTCGCAGCCCCATTTCTCTCCACCAGCAGCCTCCACACATTTTCTAATACACGTGGTCTAGCTCCCTGACCCCCTTGTAGAGTTCTGAGAGTGCAGGGACCATGTTTGACTTTTTAGTGATGCTCCCATGAAACCACACTTATTGACTTATTATTTATTGGTCACAGGTGATCAATAAAGACCTGTTGGGTGAAGTCAACAGAACTCTGCCTGGCACTGTAGACACACTAAGTGGCAGCTCTCATTAGTATTAAGGGACACAGTCCCTGTCTTCAGGATTCTGTCCCTTTACCCCTGTGTACTGACTCCTCGTCACCTTTTCAATCTGCTCTCCCTCTTGCTAGCTCTGGCTGTCTGCACAATGTGTTCCTCCTCTCCCTGCCAATCACCTCCTCCTGCCTCAGAAAGGCCATGTCCAGTGCCAGGGGCCCACAACGCTACCCCTGCCACCCTGCAAGACCTCTTAGCTGGGCTCGGACTGCTCCATGTTATCAATAACTGCTCTGCAGCTCAGCACTGCTGGCAATGGTTTATTCCTCACCTCATCTTCTTTGGCAGAGGGATAAGATGCCAATGCATCTTTATGGTAGAGACATGCCGCACAATGGCCATACAGCACACCCCCGCCCCATACCCCCAATCAGCCATGAAGTGGAAAGAGATCAAGCATAACCTGTACTGATTCAGACTCCAGACAGAAAAAAAAGTGCTGCAGCTCTTGGGAGGACCAGGAGCCAGTTCTATGGAAGGGACCGCGAAGTTGGAGGATTCACCACTGACCTCCCCTCCTGTTGCTTCTGTTCCTAATCAGTCTGCTTGATAAATAACCTCCAAATCGTTTCAAAGTGCTTAGGCCATGATATTATGTGAACAAGTAGCGCATAAAATAACAATACACTAGTATTTTCCAAATTTGCCTAACTCCAAGGATAATACAGAAGAGTCAGAAAGTAGTTATAATGCCTGTTTTGAAAATAAAAATTTGTTCCAGTGCACACACCTGGAGAAGCATGCAAATTTCACTTTTGCTTATGCATCTTGTCCCTGAGAAACACTAACACAGAACACTGTACCCAGCTGAACTGAGCCACGTGGGAATATGCCACCTGCACACCTCCCAGCACCCTTGGTTCATCTGAGCCACATCCATCCACATCTGGGGCTACCACTTCCTGTCTGACTTCGGGTAACTCTCCCTCAACCACTTCCTGTAACTCAAGTTGCAACCTTTCTGACTCCTGCTCCCACAGGCATACTTCAGACCTTTTTACCGTAAAAGTTTGATACTTATAAGTGCATTATGCATTTCTTAACCTTTTACATGTGCAAACCTATGCTACCATCTTTATTAGGTTTCCATCTTTTTATTGTTGGGCTGTCACTGACAAAGTGTTGAGTGTTATGTCCCTGCCCCCTTTCCCCTTAAGCCCTGTGGTTTTATGGTGCAAGCTTGTTCAGCGTGATGATTTTTAGGAACCCATATGTCAGAGCCCGCCCCAAGCCTGCTGGATCAGGGTTTCTATGGAGGGATGTGGGGACACAGATCCTACATTGTTAATAAGGCTTTAGCTGCTTCCTGTGGTCAAGCATGGTTCAGAATTCCTGGTACATTAGTGTGGTCCCAAACACTAAATTTTTTCAAGTCACTGAAAAAATGGCCAGGCACAATGGTTCATGCCTTTAATCCCAACACTCTGGGAAGCTGAGGCAGGAGGATCACTTCAGCCCAGGAGTTGGAGGCTGTGGTGAGCTGTGACCAGGTCTGGCTTGGGAAACAGAGTGAGACCCTGACTCAAAAATAAAATAAATCAAAGCACTGAACACTAACATAAGCAAATATGCCCCAACATGAACACCTGAAGGCGATAAGACTATGGGTCTTACAAATTTTATGCAGACATGTCAAACTTCTGTAACAGAAAGCAAATGTTAAAACATAAACTGTTATCATCTTACAGTTAGCACAGCCTTTCTTACACCCCAGCAATCCCTATATGGAGGCAGGGTAGGATTTTCATTTTCCCTATTCTGCAGAGAAGGAACCCACTGTTTGGAGCAGTTAAGTGACTTTCCCCAGGTTTCTCACCCCCAGTGGCAAAAAGGTGACTCAAACCCAGGGTGGCTCTTCGCAGCCCATCACGCCTCCCAAACAAGCCCCCAACTCTGCCTCACCTCCTTCTGGGCCACCTGGAAGGGGATGGCCTTGCGCATGTGCTGCCGAGTGATGCCGCTCCAGCGGGTGCGGTAGTCAACAATGGGCATCTCAGGTCGGACGTACTTGTCGTAGAGGACATCACCATGGTAACTCACCACTGAGCAGCGGGCCAGCTCACTTACCCGCCCCCGGGGTCCCGTGCCCACCATCTCGCAATCGATAGCTACGCACTTGCTGGGCAAGGGCCCCGAGGCTTCCCTCGGAGTGGGCCTCCTGCTGCATGAGGTGCCACCAGATCCAGCCTTTGGACGCTGCCTCTTGCTGCTGGCAGCTTCAGTGGCTGGCGCTGTTCCTGATGGGGTGGGAGGTGGGGAGGCCCCCAGCTCTGGGAGCATGTTCAGCAGCCCCTGCTCCTGCAGCAAGGCCTTCCGGGCCATGAACCTCTGGTGCTGTCGGCTCCTCCTCTTGTGCCTTCTCCGAAGCACATCCTTGGCATTCAGGCTTGCAAGGGAAGGGCACAGGCACTGGGCGGGTTCAGGAGCCTCCCGGGGCACCATCCCGGTCAGCTCACTCCTTGATGCAAGGGAAGCCGTGGAAGTAATCTTCTACTGGGGCAGCAGCCTGGAGAGAGAACACACAGAGCTGGGTGAGGGGTGTGCCAGGCTGCCCAGAACTCTGTAACCGCAGCTCCCAGACTGTTTCAAGGATTCATTTCACTAATAGCTGCACTCATGCCGCAAACACCATGTGCATATCACTGATGTAAGTACTATAGGGAATCACTTGATCTCCCCAGAGACCTAAACCAAGTATGATTACAATCATTTGACAGGTAAAAAACTGAGGTTAAGGAATTTGCTCAATGCATAAGAGACAAAGCTGATATGAACCCAGAATCCACACACTCAACCTCAAGTCATAAACTCCCCTAGTACTGTTAGCACCAGACTTTGACAGAGGTACAATTAAAGGAAAATAAAGATTACAGAAACAGTAAATCCCTTAAAAAAAATCTCTCTGTGAAATATGAAGGCAAGACTATTAGCAGAACCTGGAGAAAAAACTTCACAGGAGGTCCACCACAGTTGAATAGCTGTAATTTTGGTTGTGTACTGACCAAATGAGGTAATTTATCTAAATGACTTTATAATTCATTAATCACAACAGCACCTGCAATCAATCATGTAACAGCCCTGACCTGCATACTGCTGCATACATCTGCTTGCAGTCTGTGGCGCTCCCACCCGGCCGACTGTGAACTCTCCTCTCTGAACACTAGGATGAGAAGAGTCACTTTCTACACACCATTACACGGAGTGTCTGCTGGTCATGTGAATCTGCATAGCCCAGGCAAGGAGGCCAGCACCTTCCCAAAAGCCAAGGCCCTAGCTTGGAAGACCTTATCCCGATTGCTATGCCAAGTCAGTGGCTTTTGTAAAAAAAAAAACAGGGCTTTGAAGTCAGGCTTTGAAGTTAACTCAGATCTTTATAAGTTACCAAACTACTGAGTTTCCATTTCCTGGCGTGTGAAACGTTCCTACCACCTCCCTACCTGAAGAGGAAAGACAATGTGTGCTGGGATCTATGAATAATCTATTCTGTAGGGTTCTGTCATCATCTGCGCCCTTTCTCCAGAGAGGCTCAGACTCTTGCCCATGGATGGTAACCAATTCTTCCCAGGCCACAGCGGCCTCCACCTGGACTGTCCTTTCCCAACACACAGGCCTTCATCTGCCTCCCTTCCCGCTCACACCCTGTTGCCCTTTCAGGCTCAGCTGCTGTTCGGCCATGACACAGAAGCCTTCTGAACAACATTTAAACCTACTGGGTTGTATAGGCCAATGCCACAGTGAGCCTTTCTGGGGTCCATACTGTGCCAGATGCTAGGAAGTTACAAAGATGGCTTCTGGGCCCCAATAAGTTTAAACCCACCACAGAAGCAGAAATGAGCAGAAAGAGTGTTAAGGGCTGGATCAGCGGTGCTAGGGAGGCAGAACAGGCTGGAGGACAGTTCTCTGGAGACTTCCTAGAAAAGGCTAAATCTGCATGAATGTGGAATAGGAACCTTCCAGGAGGGAGAGGAAAGCAGTAGCCGCATTAGGGGCCAAGGCCTGAAAAAGGGATAACCCAGGGTTGAAGAAGGGGTATACCAGCAGCCTGACACCGCTGGGGTGCAGAGCACATGGAGGGTCAAGTTGGATGCACTGCCCCTTTGTCCTTTGTACCACTGGTCTTCTACCCCCCTATTCTGGCAGCCCTTCCTCAAGCTGTCCTCCCCCAAGCTGGGGTCCCCAGACTGATCTCTGCTGGTCAAGTGAGTGATGGGGCCTCAGAGGCCCCTGAAGAGGTCACAGAAATAACCCACAGTAGCCCTGACTCAGCCCTGACATTAGTAGTCCAGCTCAGAGGCAACGAAATTCTCCTCTCTGTCTGTGCCAGAGAATCAATCACACTCTTCCAACAGGTGCAGCCTCCCTCAGAGGCGGCTGGAGGCACCAAGAGCCTTGCTTCTTTGTCCCTTCCCAGTAGCCAGCAGAGCGCAGAAGGTATCTTCAGAAGGTGTCAAAGGGCGCTGCTGGTCAGACTGGGGGCTACAGAGCTGGGGTTGTGTCCCCAGGGAACCCTTGGTGCGGTGGGGAGAGAGGTCGTAGTCAGAAAAGTACAAGGGTGTGCTCAGGCAGAAGCCCTGTGTCAGGGAAGGGCATTAGAAAAGAGATCTATAGCTGGGCGTGGTAGCGTGCGCCTGCAGTTCCAGCTCCTTGGAAAGCTGAGGCAGAAGGATCGCCGGAGACCCAGCAGGTTGAGGCTGCGGCGGCCGGGAGCGGCCACTGCCCTCCAGTCTGGGCGACAGAGTGAGACTACAACTCAAAAAAAAAAAAGAAAAGAAAAGAAAAGAAAAGAGATCTAGACACAAAGTCCAGGAGGCAAAACACAACCATGGAGGGGGCAGGCAAGGAGATAACAGCAAGGAGACAGGTGGGGTGGGGATGGCCAGAGAAAGGTGTTGTTGGAGGGCAGGTATAAGTTAGGGCTTCATCCAGAGATTGATGGGGAAGCATGGAAAGGTTTTAGGGAGGGGGTGAAAGGATCCCAACCATCTTTAGGAAGAGGCCCGGAGAAGTAAGAACCCATGTAGGAGCAGCAGAGTAAGAGGAACAAGAAGGGGAGGAGCTGAGGGAAAGCCCAGGCTTGATGCCAACATCTGCATGAGGACTCCCAGCACCCTGGGGCAGGGCGAGGCTGGTGACCCATGCTGACTCATCCACCCTGGGCTTGCTCACCTCATTCCTTTCCCAAGAAACACTCTGCCTTTTAAAGGTCTTAACTATAACCCACTTCATACTGACAAGTCACATCTTAGAACTGACATTCAGAACCTCAATTTGCCTCAGCCCAGCAACGGGAGAACAAAGCCTAAGCAGACCAATGGTGGCCCTGGTAATAACTAATTTTGGGGGAGAGGGAAGGAAAGGACTAGGGTGGGTGGCTTTCCTGACCCTGCTGGCAAGGTTTCAAAGAAACCAGGAATGACCGCAACCTGAGATGAGATCTCTGTGGCCTTGTGTTTCAAGGGATGAAAGCAGTCCTCTTCCACATGCCCTGACTTTGCTGACATGTCAGAACCAACAATTATCAGGGGCATACCTCCCCATCTTGGGGCACCCGATGGAGCTCAGTGTAGCTGGAGAGAAGTTTTGGACAAACAACACAACACTTTCAGCAAGGATAAATCTCTTTCTCTAGCCTGGACCCAGCGCTCTGGGAGAGTCAGACTCCAGGCCTTCAAGTGGGGGTCCTTGGCATAAAGGAAGGGCCCCAGGAGCAGATCCCATAGAGCAAAGGCCCCAAACGAAATCAGGCTGCTAATGGCCTCAGGGCCACCAACCTGCTGGCTGACCAGGAAGGCAGTGGGTGGTTCTAGACCTCCTCAGCCTCCAAACAGAAAAGTCACTGACCCTTCACCACAAACCGAGGACTTACAATTAACGATAGGGTTTCCAAGGAGTTAGAGTTACCAGAAGACGTTTGTTAAAATGTCGCTTTTCGCCCCCCCCTTAAATGCCATTGGGAGGAAAGGGGCCTAAAAAGTCGATATTTTAAAAAAAACTTGTGACCCCCCCAACATCAAGCCACGTTTCTGATAACTGCCCACATTTGAGCAAGCCTGGCTCGATAAGGTCCCTGTGCTACCAAAAAGTTCACGGAACCAAAAAAAGTCTGAGGAGATCCCTGCACGACACCCTCCCCCCGCCGGATGGCTTTCCCGTAGGCGTGACGAGGCCTGACTCCACGGGGAACCGCTGGTCGCTGGTCACTCACCCAGCGCCGCCCCCTCGGGCCCGAGAGCCCGAGCCTGCGTATCTGCCGGCCCGAAGAGCCGGATCACCCAACCCAGGCGCCCCCCGCCGGAGGCCGCGGCCGGAGACAACGCGTGGGGACCTGCGGCCCGAGACACAACGCCGCAGCCGGCCCAACCCCGCAGTCCGGGAGCAGGAGCCCGGATCTCACCCAGGCCCCCGCGCGTCTCTTCCGGCCCGCACGTGGCGTCTGGACTACCGGCAGATCCCACATGCCCGGGCAAGCCCGGCGCGGCTGCCCGCTTATTGGCTCGCTGGACGGCAGCGCCCGCCTATGGCCTCTTCTGATTGGCCGAGACTGCCACACTGCGGGTAGGCGAGCCGGAGCAGAAGGGGCGGGGCTCAGGAAGGGGGCGTGGCTTGTGCCCCGAGCCTGTCGTGGCCGCGCCAAATTTTAAAGAGAAAGGACAGAGCCTGGAGGCCCTGCTATCCCAGAGGTTGAGTGGGGAGGATCGCGTGTGTCCAGGAGTTTGAGAGCCGCCTGGGCATGTGGCGAGATTCCCGTCTCTTAAAAAAAAAAAGAGAGAGAGAGAAGGAAGGACGTCTCGCATCGTTGTGCTCACCCCCCCCCACTCCCTCCGCGGATCTGGGCTCCTGTGAGCTTCGTATCACCAAAGATCGAGTGACTTACAGAGGACACATACATCTGCAGAATGGGAACAGCAGCTCCCACCTCCTCAGGTATTCTTGGGATTCATTGAAATAATATACACAGTAGGTACTAAAAAACCTCCAAGTTTCCCCTCTCGGCGCTCCTTTTTTATTTACATATTTTTGGTAATTATTTATAGTAAATTACCCAAAACAAGACTCATTAAGTATTACTTATCAGTATAGAAACTTAGTTTCTACTGTGGTTTGATACCGGGATACACATAATAAACACGTAAGCCCCTTGAGTAATAACAGGGAAACAGGGAGACTAATCGGCGATTCAGTGCAACGTGAACAATAACAAGAACAATAATAAGTAGTTCGCATTTACTGTGTAAGCACTAATGATGTGCCAGGCAATCAATATCCTGTACTCCTACAATCTGCGCAAGAACCCTCTGAAGTATGTACTATTATTTCAGTTTTACAATTAAGGAAATTGACATTTAAAGAAATTAAGGGAAGACCAGGCATGGTGGCTTGTGCCTATAGTCCCAGTGCTTTGGGAGGCTGAGGTGGGAGGATGGTTTGAGACCAGGCATTTGAGGCTAAGTGAGTTATGATCACGCCACTGCACTCCAGCCTATGTGACACAGCAAGATGCTGTCTCTAAAATAATAATAATAATAATAATAATAATAGGCCGGGCGCGGTGGCTCACGCCTATAATCCCAGCACTTTGGGAGGCCAAGATGAGAGGATTACCTGAGCCCACAGGTTCGAGTCCAGCCTAGTTAACTTGGCGAGACCGCCTCTCTACAGTAAATCAAAATATCAGCTGGGCATGGTGGCACGTGCCTGTAGTTCCAGCTACTTGGAAGGCTGAGGCAGAGGGATCACCCGAGCCCAGGAGGTCGAGGCTGTGGTGGCCATGAGCAGCATGCCACTGCATTCCAGCCTGGGCTACAGAGTGAGACTCTGACTAAAAAAAAAAAAATGTATCCAGATCTTTAGCTTCCATGGCGGTGGGCCTGGGAACATGTCCAAGGTCTTTGGGATTCAGCTTCCCTCCCCCCTCCAGAACCTGCTGTCTCCTGCTTTATGAAGGAAATTTACACTCTCACCCATTCTACATCTCGCTCTGCTGCATCATTACCCAGAAATACAAGTCTCCAGGAAAAACAATAGGGTAACTTTAAATAATGGGTTAGTTGTGAAATAGCTAATGATATACATAAAATAATTGCAATAACTTGCTTGACATAAGTAACTCCATTTTGTTGAAATCCTCCATCTTAGCTGCCTGCCTAACCTAAAAATGACCCCCCAATGTACATGTGATTACTGTAACGTTTCCATGACTATAGACCCACAGCTTTGTTCCCCTGAGTTGTTTACACTGACCGATCATGCTGACCGTTTGCAATACTCCGTAGCCACAAGTTCCATGTAATTGTATGCTTTGTTAACTGAAACCAGGTGTTGCACCAAGAAATTGTTAAGGAATTATTACTTACAAAATTCCCCCTGCCACATTCCTATAGTTTGTTCATATATTTTGTTCCTTTTGTTTTCAGTTCCTTGTACCCTCACCCCCTGCTATGTAGCCAACCTGCAGATTTTACCTATATAAACTTTTTGCTGATTATATTCTGCATCAAGAGCTTCATGGCGAGAGCTTACTCTTGACTGCGCACTAATAAAGGATTCTTAATATTAATTTGGACTTGGCGTGCTCCTTCTCACAATTTGGTCATAATAGTTGTTGTCAAGGATTGAACAAGAGATCCTGGTACCAATCAAGTGGTTTCTTTGTTTTCACTAAGACCCAAGGAAGAGCTAATCATGCCATTAAAATTTTTTTGGAGTATAGATAATTATCAGGAAGTTAAAGAATTGAAAGAGTGTCAGAATAGACCCCTCTCCTATATAAACAATGCTTATCAGTGATTACACCCATAAAATCAAAATGAAAGGCCCACCTCTGTCTCATTCCTTCAAAAGTTATGTTCACTCCTGGATTTACAAACTTCATGGAAAATATTTTTTCAATGGCATTTTTAATGAAAATTAACTTATGTTAAAATTCCCTCTCCTATAATGAAATGCTATATATTTATTTGATCACTTGCACTACTGATAATTGCAACAATATCTCATTCCGGAAGGAAAAATATTAACTTAGAACCTTATAGTCACAGGAAATTGTTCTAGAGTTAACAATTTATCTACATAATTTCATAACAGAAACGTATGATAAAGTACTCCACAAAATATTGCCAGCATGAAAATGTATTTTAAATTTTTTTTTTTTTTGAATTGGAGTCTCACTCTGTCACCC